CAAGGAAATCTGCCAAAATACATGATGAAATACGATTTGATTGCGTTTTCCTTCTTGAAAATATAGAATTCAGCTATGTATTTGAAAGAATTTTGAAGGATGACGATTGCAGATCTTAGCACAGTAGGTGAAAGCTTTGAATAAAAAGAAAGGACCTTAAAAATGCAGTTAGAAATAAATAGATGGAATTGAGGTAGAGCTTGTTTGCCGTAGGACATATATTCACAGCAGTGTTTGAAAACAAGCTTGAGCTCATTTAATGGCATTTAAATTTCGCACATGAATAACTCAAGTTAGCCTCGACATGGCACAATTTTAGTAATCTGTTGAATACCCTGCTGTAATATGCAAGAACTGTTGTGTATAGAACAGTGTTCCAACCTTTCTTTGCCCGCGGACAACCACCATATTTTCATTGATTGATTTTTGGACTAGCAAATTTCTAAAACATTTTGTTTGGACCAGCAAAATTTCGAAAAAATTTGCAGATGTAAATAATTTTGTTTGAAAGACTTTTCAGCAATTATTTTAGAAGTTTCTTTTTTTTGCAAAAGTCAAGTTACCAAAAAAGAAGCTATGTAATAGTGGAATACATTCCTGAAAATTAGAAAGGTGCTGGGTTTGAGGAAGGTTTCTCAGAGTGGAAAATGGATTCAATTTTTTCAGCTAGTTAAAATTGTCTGAAGTGTTATTAGGAGAAAAGCCAAATTTTGATTTCATAAGATAATTCCAACTACCGTTATTGTTCCAAAATGTCAGGGGAAGATATTACAATCAATTGCTAATTTTTGTAAAATCATTATGCTGGAGAAAGTTTCTAATGGACTGGCAAAACACTTCTGCAGACTGTCACTGGCCCATGGACCTTGGTTTTGGGAAGACTGGTGTAGAACATTATAGTCTGCTAAATTACTTGATTTGTCCATGACGCTCACAAAAAAATGAGACATATGTTTCTGTTGCTCTAAATAACTTATTATTGCATTGAAAAGGGCATTGAACTTATTATTGCATTGGTTTTAGATAGCCATAAGATAAAACAAATATTTGAAATTTTCCCACCTTGGGCCTTGGCTCTCAATTGATATATCTTTTTTTATTTCACTGCTCATGGGCATACAATTTTTCAAAAACATCCCAATTTCACTTCAGAAGGTTGCATGAGCTTCAATGCTGTCATTTTTCAACCTTTGCGAATGACACCAGCCCTCCTCACCATCCTGTGGCAATTTGGTATTTATTTTTTGCACACCGGCAAATTTCAGTTTGACCAAAGACAACCAAAATGCACCTCAGTTAAGATGGCCCAAGTAAGGAAAATTCAAGGAAGAGGCAATCCTTTTGTTTTCAAAAATCTTCATTGCTGATCCCATATTTTAGCTTTGCAGAAAGGCATGCCACACAGTAATGAATATTTATTCAGCAAAGATGTTCTCTATTGAGAAGAGAAATTTCTTTTTGGACTTTCCCAACATGAGCATTTATTTTAAATTAATTTGTTTCGTTTTGCTGCTCTTGGGTATTGAATTTTGCAGAAATATCTTGGCATTCCGAATTTATCATGGATGAGTGAAATTTTTCAATATTTCCTGATGATTCATAATAGGTCTAGCAGAGCAATCTTAAGTTGAATGAAGTAAAATGATTGCTGTCACATTGTGTGGGCGTATAAAAAGTGAAAACTACTTGAATCAATATGATTTTCAAAAATCAAAGTGCATACTCCTCCAACATTTTTTTCTTTTTTTTTTTGCTCTGGTGTCACTAGCTCAGGGATGGCTGCTGGGAACCCCAAACAGCTAGTAAAATCAATTGATGAACACTAAAATACAGTAGTAAAAAAAATCAGGGATATATTATGTTGAATGAAGTCTTTCCAACCTAAAAGTTCATCCTCCCGTTCGTAGAGTTGGAGCAGACGTTCTGCTGGACTCGACAGTGCACGTGCCTCTTCCTCCAGCCCTGCCTTTCGCTTCTTCAGCGCCTCCAGCTCCTGGCGAAGCGTGACCTGCAATATACATGCTCTGCAGCACACGCTCAACAACTCACACAGCACATACACTCCTTTTTTTCTCTCTTCTATTAAACTTATACAGCAAACAAGAGGGTTGGCTCATAAATGTTTGTACTTTTTTCCCCAATAGATTCAACCCAGTTAAAAAAATTCTAGCAGAAGAAAACAAGGATACTCGCGTATAGCGTCATCATTTGGCGGGAATTCAGTGCTGTTCAACAGACTCTCTGCCGATTTTATTGCATTTTTAATCCGCTAAATTCAGCAATCAATACTGTGACGTAAATCGAGTTCCATTAGTTTATCAATAAGCTGCTCTTTGACAGCGGAAATCAGGCTCAAAATCAATCCCATAACAGGTTGTTCTTCAATGTTGGAAAAAGGCAGAATAAATAAGTCACAGGGTTCAAAATAGACCAACAGAACTCATTTTCTGGCCCTGTGTGGATATTAGGATTTATCGCATGGAAAACTGATATCAGCGGAGAGCATGTTGAACAGCAAAACAGTGTTGCCAATCGATTGAGCTGAAAATAAGATGAAATTTCTGAAACTTTGTTTGAATCTATATGAATAAAAGTCTAAAACTTTATGAACCAACGCTAATGTGTGTGGGTGTTCTGCTTGTCTTCATAGTACTGTACTTGTGAATTCCAGAAATTTCCACGGGGTTTTCTCTTGTTTTTATTCACGGGAATCTCATGCTTGACGAGATAGTTTGACCAGACGAGCAGGGAATAAAAAAGTTGCGAGAATAATCCGACTCGTTTGATGCAATCAGAAATCCGGTTCAAACATATTGGATCTATTGATCTGAAACTTACTGTATTCGTGATGTGAATACTTTAGAAGTCGATCGAAATTTATTTGCTTACTTCACAAACTTCTAGAAGAGTTTAAGAGTTTTTCTTACGAAAAAGGAATGAAACAATTTTATTTTTGACCACAGTCTAACGTAACTTCTGTTAGCATATGACGATCAAATTTTTTGAATGACAAGAAGGAATCGAAATTTGAACAAAATCATATTTTTTTAAATCTGAAGTAGTTTAACCGTATAGAAGGAAGATATGCATGTGAGAAGAAAAACTCAAGTTGAAAAATTAAATTTGACAGCGCATCGTACGAATTTAATCTGGCTATACCGACACTCAATGCTCAATTTTAACAAATACTTCAATTTTTAACGCATATTGAGCAGCGAATTCTAGAAATGTTTGATACATTTTCCCCGCGCAAGACATAACAGCAAATGAATCATTTAACCCATGGCAACACTGGTGAAAAATCTAGAAATTGTCCCCTGTACCACTACGTTTTGGCATGCAATTGAAAATGGAAAAAAGCGAGGCAGATCATGTTTTGCGTAACGTGTATGGAAATACGTTTGGAGGTCTGTGAAAAAATTAGTTTCTAATAGACCAGTCAATATTTTTCGATGCTGCTTCTTCAAATTTTCTGAAAAAATCCCGTTCTTTACTCATTCTTGAAGGACTTCGGGAGAAACTGAGTAAATTATGAAATTCCAATCAATTAATTGTTCAAGGGTTTGTGAAAAAATCCTGATTCCTAAAATTAATGTGATCAAATGTGCAGCTTTCACTCAAAGCTTCGAAAAATTTTCAAGCTATTTTCGTCGTCACAAAAATTTGAAAAATAGCAAAGGATGCGCTACATTGATTTTAATTTTCCATTTAAAAAAATCACAAGATGATTAAAAAGCTCACCACATCCGCATTCTTGGACCCAAAAGCAGAGCGAAGACTCCTTCCACTTTCACTTTCACTGAAATCAGTAGCACTCTTGAGTACAGTTGAACCTTGATAACTCGAACCTGAGTAAGTCAAATACCTTCCTATAAGTCAGATTTATTCTAGTTCTCATCTGAATTCCCTTTGAAAAAATATGCATGAAAAACCTGCTCAACCTGAAGGATTTTCCTCTCCAACTCCCATAAGTTGAACTTCCTTAGCCATTTTGACCAGTATTATCTTGCCAAAGTGGGAAGAAAATCAATATAATGTAATTTGCTGTATTTTGAATGGAAGTGAAAGGCTCATTGGGCAAATGAGCCATTGCCTCCAACTTTAGCATCCTGTTAACTCAGGTGAGAAACATTTAAGATGGGCGAAAATATCACCATTTAAAATTTTGGGAAATTCTTCTATCTTCCTCATGACAAATATGCTTGGTTTGGTAACTCAACTCTAAACCTCTTCCAGCTGAAACCTCTATAAGTCAAATTTGTTGGCTGGTCCCTTGCAAAATGTGTCTTAGAGAGGTCTGACTTATATACTGAATATTTCAAGAAATACAAAAAAATCTGGATGAATAATTATCATATCATTCCATCACACCATTTGTGCCACATTTTTAAAATTCCAGATAAGCTACCAAATAATAACACTACTTACTTGTAAATGTGATTCAGTGCATATTCCTTGGTTGTGAGTTCTTGTTCTTTGTTCTCCAGTTCTTCCACGACCTGAGCCAGTGCAAATTGTTTCAATTCCAAGCGTTTCAGAGGACTAGTCTTTTCCATATCCCTTATGCTGTCATCCAGAAACATGTACTCGTCCATAGTCGACTTACTGTCGAAGTCAGTCTGCGAAGCACGAATCTTAGTCAGTTCAAACTTCATTGCAATAGAGTTGTAAACTTTATGGCATACAGTATTTTGGTGATCACAGAAAACAATACAAAGTGAATATCACTTAGGAATAGAAATAATACACATCGAATAGCCCAAGGCAAGAATAACGACGAACATTCAACAATCCTACACACAGTCAGAAAAAACCCATTTAGATGATGGAGACGAAGCGGAAGTGGGTTGTATCACTCCCATGATGAAGACAAACATACCCCTGAGCTCCAAGTAGGTGATGAGTGTCCCTATATTCAGGGAAATACTTCCTGCTTCTGTTTCCTCTCATCCCCTGTTCTTATTTTGTATAAAAAATACAGTGAATCTCCTAACAACAAACTGCCAGGGACCTGAAAAATGCATTACACAGTGAGACTCCCACATGCTGACACATTGACATGTGGACAATACAACAAATAGGCACTTATTTTCTTTCATGACAATTCTTTCAATTGTTTCATGGATTTCTAATGAATATTTCTTCCATCAATAACCAATTCAAATTGTATAAATAAGTGAGTCTATATAAAATAAAATGAAAGACTTGACTTAGGAACAGTTTTAGATTGGGACACTCTTGATGCACCAATTATATCTGAATATATTGAATGAAGGTAGTTTCAATGGAGATTCATGGTTTTTATAATGCTTTGCAGACTGGCATTTTGTGGGAAATGGGTGATGAATACAGTAACATGTTTCCCAACCTAATAATTCAAGACTGATAATAATCCATAAGTATTTCGGATGAAATGAACAGGACAAATTCAAACTAAATGCACTTTCATTTTGTCAAACCTGCCTTTATCCACTGAAGCGTCATTTGTCTTTTAAAAAAAACTTTAAAAATTAAATGCACTAGAAATACTTTGCTTCTGGTTCAACTTCCTCATTCATATCTGTCAATCCTTTCATATATAGAGGAAACCTTTTTCTAACATACCGTATATTTCAATGGAAGGCATATATCCAAAAATGGAGATAATTTCTGAGAAACGTGGCATGTACATTTTTCACACACCACATTTAAAAAAAAGGTTCTGCTTCTTTCCTGAAGTTGGAATGCTGCACCTTTTCATTTTTTCTCACTTGTCTGACATTCATCAAATAATCCTCACATACAGCCAATGCCCATCAGAATCTAGCCAACAACTTGATTAAATTAGATTGCAACCTAAAGTTAGTTTAAAAAAAATTTACATAAACAAAATCCATTCAATGAAAAATCCATTATAATAAGATTTGTGGTATCCAAATTGCAATGTAATCGAAAAAAAATTTTCTATTACATGGTGTGCTTGAAACTTGGCAAAAATGCCCTTCCTTCCTTCTATGGAAGATTTTGAAATCGTCGGCGTATGTCACGTCAAACCTAAATTACGCAGGTATTGTTTTAAGATTATTAATTTCAGGAGAAATTGATTTCATGGATTGTAAAAGCTCCATTTACTTTTACCGAGATTGTTAATTGAGCAAGTTTATCAATAAGAGTTATGAGAGCAAGTTTCGGTGAGGAGGAAGAAACGATTTAATCAGAAACAATTTTTGAGAGAAAATATTTCAACAGATGTTAAGAAAATTTGACAATGTAGCTCAGCTCGAATTCCGTTTCAACATGCTGTATCTTTTCCAAAATTTTAATTTGTGCGTCAAAAATATATGATTGAAAAAAAAGTCAGCGTGCAAAAAAAGGTTCCCATATAGTCAGACTAACCCTAAAAATGAGGTACATGTACCAGCATCCCGGTGAAAAAACCATAAATAATTTCTTATTTTGTATTGCAATCTCACAGAAAAATTGAGTGGTTTCGTGGCCTGGAGGAAAAAGTTTTCTTCATAAACAGGTTCAAGGGACGCACATCCAACAATACGTGCTGAGTGGAGGGGTTCCCTGAGGGTGTGGGTGCATATGACGTGACTCCTGGCAGTCGTCTGCAACTCCCATGAGACCCCCAAGCAAAAAAAAAAAATCAAAATAAGTATATAATGGATCTGATGCACATATCATTTTTTGTGTGTGATGTACTGTACTCGTGTGTCCCACTGCGGTTGCAGGACATCGTTTTTATTTTTTATTTCTGTTGCAGGTATGACCGAGTGGGTGACCCAGTATTTTTTTGTGCGTGCATCATTCACCTGTCGACCCAATGGTGGGGCAGAGTGCTGACGACCTCCGTTGATCTCGTTCCCTCCAACGCCCAAAAATGCTGAGTAGGCTTTTCGGGTTGTCGCTGCTCTTCCTCTGTCAAACCCGGCTTGCTGTTTATTGTATTGGAAACCATGAAAGAAGTACTGTATTCCTGATTCTCAATACAAAGTTGTGCACATAGTGTTTTCTCATGTACCTCCAGGCCCAACATTTTTCCAGAAATTCAGGCTCAAAAATAGGATGATTGTGGTGCAGTACTCCAGTGGTTAGTCCCAAATAATGTTTTGAAGGGAAAATCCCCAAATGACCCAGTACCCCTCACAAATACAATTTATCAAAGAAGACAAATTGAGAGGAAACATGTGGTGCCAAGTCTGCTTTTCCATGGAAATATATTTGTTCCAGCAATAAAAATTTTGGGATTCAAAATTCGTTTATGAACTCTATCTGTTGCACAACTTCTCTTGAAGAAATTTGGAGGAAATAAGCTAAAGAAGGGTTGATGAATGCATGAGACTAAGGAGGATGACAGAGAGTATGGGTGGAGTCAACATTTCTAAAAAAAAATATTCCCTCAGTAAACATACTTAGGTTTCTTATAGTCTATACATTTCATGAAATCCATGTACTCTACACTTCTTCATGAGCAACCTGTGCAGGTAAAAAGAATAAAAAAACATGGACATGTGTGCTGTACAATCCTAAATTGGAGTGAAAAATATACAAGAGGCACATCTATAAAGGGAACGCTGTCATGTAATGAAGCCGATTGAGAGAACTATCAAGAAAGAAACTTTCAAACATAAACGCAATTGTGAAAGAAGTAAAAATAATTTTTTTCATTTTTCATTTTTCATTTTTTTCAGGAAGATTTTTTCATTCTAAACTCAATCATAGAAAAACAAGAAACTGCCACTGGAAAATATGGGGTGCGAAATCCAGGGTGGACCTTTTATGAGCCTCACATTCAAACCACTAAAGTTTACAAACCAAAAAATCAAATCCAAAAAATCGTATTTCACCCACTCCAATCTCAACACCTTGGAGAAAATTGCCAGCATCCTTTAATATATCGAATGAACTCTCTCCACGACACATTGTTAAGGACCAGAGAAAACTGTTGTAGCAAGAATTTCGTTATAGGCAATGCCTATGGGAATGTAATATTATTCGATCAGGCTATATACAGATTATAAAATGATTATTTTGCTGCCTTTGTTGTATCGAACAAGCATTTTCCCATGCATCACAGGGAGCAAATAATAAGTGTCTGAAGATCATCCCCAGCGTAGAATAAAATATTTCATATGCATAATATCAGTGTACTGTACTGTGTTTTCATCAAGTCAACTCATTCTCAGTTTATAAAATGCAATGCCAATAAGGCAATAAACATTTGGAAAGTTTCAGAGTCTCTTTGCCATAGAAAAATTTTTCATCCCACCCAGAGCTATATATATTGCATCTAAAATACTACAAATTACTTCCTTTTTTAATTCAACGCTTCAGGAGAGCCCAGAATTCATGAATAACGGATAATGAGAGCTTCCCATTGATCCACGCCAAGTTATCTCGAGGTTTTTAGGGCAGGCAGCAATTAACTCTGGAAAGCCCGTCAGGGGAAAGGCAGGAATAAAAGTTCTTTAGTACGTACTTCTCACTTACGTATTTCCTGTTCAATTTTAAAGAAAAAAAACGAAATAGATTTCACCACAGAAAAAAGGACCGTGCTCGTAAATGGTGTGGAACCCATCCAAACTTTTCACCATGAAATATATATAGTGCTGATCTTGGATGGAACTTTTTTGGAGGAAATATTCGCCGAAAACATTTGGCAGAGGAAGACCGAAATTTTTTTTCGGAATTCGAAACCAAGCATGTCAAGCTTGTGTAAAATATGCAAAATTTTAGCCTATACTAAAATAAATGAACAGCGTTTTTTTCCAACGTTCGAGAATTCAAAATTTAACAAGAATTTGTCCATGAACCAAACTAAGGCTTTCTGCTTTTACCACGTGAACCGAACAGACAAAATCAAGAAGTTTCTGAATAATGACATTCTGCACTGCATAAACTTGAGATTCAAATATGTTTCCCCAAGAAATAACCTGAAATTCGAACAAAAGGGATTCATTGATCAAACCTCGTAACCGTTCCTAATTTCGGAATTACAAATTTTTGGCGAAAATATGAAGTAATAGTCAATTTAACGAAATGTTTGTTTCTCTGTTTCAACTACTCAGTTGCTCATCTGTTGACTTTTGAAAATGATGCAGTAAAATTCATATCCTGCCTCTGATCATTAGAACTAATCTTCGCATTTCCGGAAATGCATGATGAGAGTATCCATGAGTGGGTCGGGTTTCCCAGATTATCCCAGGATTTCCTCCCGGAAAGTTCAGAAAATTGTGCAGAAATGCGAAACGGGATTTTCTGCACGATCCTCACGCCATATTTCATTCCGAATTCGCAGTTCGTAAGGAATTCCCTCACAAACCGATGATCTACAGTAATTCAAAATAAAAGGTTGAATGTTTTTCTAAAACTTCTCCCTGTATTATTTTATGCGACGTTCTCAAGCAAGACGCAAACAATTTTTGGAAAATGCATTGGCATTGATGAGAAATATTTTATGAATATCTCTGTTTTGCATGAATAAATTGGCTCACCCTTCTGTCGAATTCCTTCCATTTTTGAGACTCTGGCAAGGCTCCTGTACCAGTGCTAGCTCCACAACCCATTCCACGGGTTCCCTTGATTCAATCACTTTCCTAATCGAATCAGTAATGCAATTACCTGGATCTCAGAACCCGGCTTAGAAGCGCACCAACCATAAAATAGCCATTTAGCATCTTATAAAAGCAACCTATAGCCTATAGGATGAAAATAATGTTAGTAACATCCTTCTGGGTTGAAATTTGGAATAGCTTTCGACATTAAATGCATATGGTGAATTTTCTGTCGTAGGGAATACATTTTGAAATTCTAATAAGACACACAGTAAAAAAAGAACCAGAAACATTTTTAACTCCTGTACCTCACGTGAGGCACACAGATCTCAAGGAAAAAATTGAGAAGAATTCCAAGACCAAGGAAAGATAAATCGAGTTCTGCTTTATTCCAAGGGGTTTAATTGTCTTTTGATTATTTGTGTGAGAATCTGCTGTGATTGAGAAAATTGGATCAAAAATTACTCTGTAAAAGGCCAACTGAAGTAAACTTCAGCCATTAACCCTTGAACAGCAGTGGGTTCCTTCCACCCCAAGGAAAAATTGGACTTTTCCTGTTTATGTGTGCATTTTATTTTGTACACGGTTATGAAATCATTTTCTTCTGGGGAAGAGAGGCACTAAAAATTTCAAAAGTTGGACTTTTCCTGTATAGTCACTTCCAAGCTGTGATCCTGGCCTTCAAGCTTCAGATTAATCCTTGAATTATGGACCAATACAAGCAGAGAGATTGAAAAAAATGCAGCCATGAAGAGGCACTTTGTTCATATCTGTGTGGACTTTTTTTGCAGAGAGCAAAAAAAAAAGGGGGGGAATTAANATGGAAAACAAATGGATTTTTTTTAAAAAAAAAAAAAAAAAAAAAAAAAGGGGATTTAACCTGACTTTGTTCTGCACACACTGTTATGGATTTTTTTTTTCAATGTGATCCTTCTGAGTTGTACACAAAATTTCCACGAAAAAGTTCTGACTTTGCTGCATAAATGTTAATAACTGTGGATGGCTGGGAAACCAACTTAGGAGTGCAATGTTTTTGTTTTCTTGTGAGTTCATTCATTCCTTCCTTTGCTATTGTCTTGAAATTTCTCGCAACTTTCCTAGACAACTGAGGGGAGACAAGGCCATTAACCCCTGAGGGGGAAACTCCAATAAATTCCAATCATAATTATATAAAGTTTTTGTCTCAGATTGAACCTGCCTCAAATTGGCTTATTTGTATCAAATTTGCTGTCTCTAATTGTCCAGTCTCAAATTTTCTGTCTCAATTTCTTACATCCCACTGAAAAAGATTTTGCATGTATGTCAAGAAGTGGAGTAAATCCCCTGGGAAATAAGGAGGGAAACAAATTAATTCCAAGGAAGCTAGGTTCAGCCTAGTTCAGAAATGTTTCAAAATCCATTTGTGTTCAACTGTAGCAAACCAAGTAGAACAATGCAAATTTGCAAGTCTTGAGGAAAATTCGAAGATTTTTTTGCAGAAAAATCATTTCTGATGGAAAAAAGTACAGTAATTGGGTTTCAGCAACAAAAAGATGCTCGAATCCCATCAAAATGTTGAATGAGTTTTAATGTTTTCAATAAAAGCTGGAATGAGGACGATGAACACACTTCATATATAAACATTGTTTAAAATGGAATATAAATTGCACTACAACAAACACTGCAATCAAATTTGAAGCACACAGAGCCAAATTTTCTGACTATGGTGAGAAAACATATCTTTAAAATGATCAGTCCATGTCGGCATTATTATCCCCAATAAAAAAAAAATTAGCAGTGACAGTCTTATGCTTAATTCCATGTATTTGTATCTGGAACAAATCTTTAGAAAATGATTATCCGTGCTTTTCAGCAACAAACGGACGCTTGAATTCTATTCAAATCATGGTTGAATAATTTTTAAAATTATCAAGAAAAACTGGCCTGTGAACATAGTCATACACACCACTTTTAAATTTTAGAAGGGTGGAAAAAAGGTTTTTGTTTGAAATTCATATTTCGTTTTGCATCACTGATTCGTTTTGGACTCACGACATTATTATTCACTGTGCGCCCTGCACACAATTCCAGGAGGAAATGCGGACGAGAGGCTCAAACTTGGCCTGACTGTTGGTCGATAAGGTGTTGACATCAAAGGAACAGCAAGCTCAAATATTCACCAACCTGACCACCTTGAACTTGTATATCAAAGAAAGCCTTACGCAGTTGGCAACTCGAAGAAAATTTCTCATATATGCAGGAATTACACTTGAGAATATTTTAGCGAATATTCACGACCCTCTTTGTTGTGCGGCTGCAATTTTGTTGTTAGCTTTCGGGAGGACTGATTGATCGCTATTGATTATGGTTCGTTTGTTCAGCATTTCTGTTTTGCTATTCTGGGACAATCAATGAGTGGAATTTTTATTTCAATTTGTGAGGGTTTTTCTGCTGGAAAGCTTGACCCATTTTAGGTGTGTGCTTTATTCCGCATGAATTTTTA